TACGAACTGATTTTTTAATCCTTTAAATTCGTCGTATATTTCAGTAATTCGTGGGATTTTAGTGTTGGCAATTTAAAATGAAGTGTGTGCAATCAGTTAACAATATATCTTCCCACAGAAATGTGAATTCTCCTCGTCGGGTGTGCAATTTCTTATCGTGTAACGGATTGCTTTATGTTTTCTGCTAAACTGCTCTTTGTGTTGCGTTCACAAAGAATTAAAACGATCTTTTTGGTGTACACACGCACACATCAAAAAGAATTTTGGGAGCAGTTTAAATAATCTTCATCATTTGTGTGTGACGACGTCTTCCAACACAATCCATACACAATCTGTCTGCACGTTGAATGCTACCGTGGCTTTGCTACTGATTATTTCCCAACGATATACATTCAATATTTTTTATAATAATATACCGTGATACAACTGGTGCTTTCTCTTGAGTAGCGGGATGGTTAATAGTCTTCCATGTGGGATACAGTAATTTCACTTTCATGTCAAGCGAGCTTTAATTCCATAGATAGATAACTTGTAAAAAATGTTTAGTAAGGGGGAAAAATATATATATATACATATATATATAATATTATATATTATATATATCTATTATATATATTATATATATATACAATTTATATTGTATATATATATTTTTATATTGTATATATATTTATATTGTATTCCTAGGGCTGTCTCTTATACACATCTAGATGTGTATAAGACATATATACATACATGCACACCCTAACACACACACACACAAACATATGGGCCTACCTAACCGTGGTACCACATAGCGTACACCATTGCTGCTTTCATTATTGTTTATATTTTCAGTTCTGAAACAGTTATGTTGATGACAACGAAACATACAGTGGATGCGGATGTAAAATAGTGCAATCGCTTCTGAAATGTTCGTTTGCGTTAAAGGCCCTTAAGAAAAAAAAATGAACACCCGTACCTCATAAACTGGTCATTTGTAGTACCCCCGTCACATTGTTAATGAAAATCAATTGATTTTAATGTAAAGGAAATCAGCACAAACTGACTCATTTTACTGATAACGATCGAGAATGGAAGCTTACATATTACATATACAAGCAGCTGGAGTTAAGTTGTGTTCAGCATTGTCCTAAGTCATTAAACTTGATATATAGAATTAATTATCATGTCGACAAAAGAAGGGTACTGTTATGACCCTATGGAAGCCCTGCTCTTTCCAAGCTTCCAAGCATTCCCACGGACGCGATACCATATGTTACGCGATGAGTTATTTCGAATCATCGTAAACTCCAATTTCCACTTGAGACCTTTTTGACGTTCATATCCGCATGCATTTCCCCCTTTTCTACACAAAAACAAGGGGACGTGGTTTCCATTCAACCTAAATATAGATTCGGTGTGTTTCGATTAAGTTAGGCCTAGATATTTTGGGATCCATGCCTACTTGAATCAAAAACACTACAGTACTCTCATGTCTTATAAAACGCTTCTCGATGTTGAAAACGAAACTCGCATCCGTAACATCTTTCGGAGTGTAATTGTGGTTTTGTAGACAGTCTTTCAAATTTAGGGCCTTGGTTACAATTCACCAAGAAGTATTCGTTTATATCCAAGAACTGTGTTACCATGAGACGAAGATACATGTGTCCACACTATGCTTATATATAGTCATGGTGTGCCTATATATGGTCATGGAGTGATGTCATCATGACCATATTTAGGCGTGACACGTGTTTTTGTCAAATAAAATTGGATAGCCTGGACAGAGGGCTTAAATCTTGACGATCCAATATTAACAATTGTTTTTCGTTACATTTTTAGCACCTACTTAGTGAAACTATTCCACATTGATATACAGTACACTCACAAAATAAAAATTATATGGCATGTAACGAGTACAGTATGAAACACCTAGGTTCAGATGTTGACAATGTTGAACATAGTGTAGACCTATAATAAGACGTTATATATCAAAACTTTCATTCTATGCGATTCGGTTGAATGTTACTAGGTTCTCCCGCATGTCGTAAATATTCTTGGTGGTAAAAGTCAAGCATAAAAAGAATTGTGATCATTAAAGTCCCGGGGTCAAACACAAACGAGAGGATATCATAACAACCATACTTATATACCGTAAGTTCTGTGTCGACCAATGCTAGAAAATTACGACAATCCTCGTTAGAGGTAGTGGACAGTGGTTAAACCTTGGTTTCCATACAATCGCTACATGCTATTGCCGACAACTTTCGGTGATGCTGATTGGTTTATCAAATCGGAGAGACTTCCCAATTACTTTGCAGGAAAACGATTGCTTAAGTAGCGTATTCAGAGCCCCTTTCCTCCTTCACGTTTTTGACTATTAATGTAACTAATTTCAAGTACTATACTGTATTTAAAAACTGCCTCAAAAGCTAATTACATAGCCTCGTGTGACACCATGTATATCATATGGTTTCCTGTTCATGGCCAACAGCTGTCCACCTAGGCCTAAATGCATGTACACATGTTAATTTTACTGGTATCAGGCCAGTCTGCCAATATCTAGTTTATCGATTGCCAACCTACTGACTACATTCTGCTGAAATTCAGTTTGATGAATGACGGATGACTAAACAGTCCCGGATCTCGGTTTGCAAATTCCAGATTTCTGACTCGACAATTCCCGGTATCTGGCATTCGGAAATTGGTTTTGATCCTATCTATGACCTCTTATAAAATTAGGAGTGGTGTGCATATTTTTTATAAAATCTGAAAATCCTAAATTAGGCCTAAGTTATATATTTTTGAAATACAAGTAGTTTAAGTTTTATTGAGACACCGATTGAGTGAATACCTAGTTAAATTTTATTATTTGAGTTTATTTAGCTCACAGACGCTAAAGCCTTTATCTTGAAATTTTATAAAAGAAGTAATTAAGTTCGTATATTGATTAGGCCATGGAAGAATAAGTCTAAACTTATTTCTCCATGATTAGGCCTAGGTTGGGTTTCTCCATGACAAACGGGTTTTAACTTCCTAAACGTCGGCGTTCTTTAAGGGTTTAACTACTCAATGGGCCTACATTGTTCGATTAATTAACTAATTAACTCGTTCATTCATTTTGTATGAAGCGCCTAAATATATGTAGAATGTAGACCCATATAACCGTGATTAAATATCGGAAATATACCGTAGTGAGACTACTCGAGTCTGTAATGTATTGTTTCAGGCTCGCGAACGTTTTGGGATTTGCAAGACATTGTCTTTATTAGACTTCTGTCTGTTTGACAACATTCCAAATCGTATCGTATCGACTTACTTGTTAATTGTATGTGTTATTTAAGTTTCTCTAGTGACTAGGCCTATAAAGCAGAAGAAAACAACGTCAAATCCTAAACATAACAGTTTCATTTACGTGTATGTAGCTAAGGATCTTCAGGGTGCTGGCATACTAACGGTACTAGTATATAAGATTTATATGCATATAAAGACTAACGGGATAAGTATGTTATCTTCTACTTCAAATGTTTAACAGATACGATAGCAGGGGCGGATCCAGATGTCCAAAAAGGTGGGGGGGGGGAGTTGGGCCGATCGACACAACACTATCCTAGGGGGTCCGGGGGCATGCCCCCGCGAAATTTGTGTGTCCTGATGCCAGAAAATAAAATTTGAGGCGTTCTGGGCTATCATTTTTTCTTTATCTTTCTTTTTCTTTCTTTTTTTTACCTTCCAAAAGAGGGGGGAGGGGCCTGCCCGCCCCCTCCCTAAATCCGCCTCTAGATAGGTCCAAACGTCTCCATGTCACAAGCTATCAAGTAGTACGTGCATGGAGCGTACGAGACGGTTTCTTTGATAAACAGTACCGGTACAGTATTACTTTCACAGAAACGAAAGCGACATAGGCCTATTTCAGAAGATTGTTTCGTTTTCGACATCTCTTGGAAAATTATGATTTTTACAAAGTGATTCGTTTGACAATGATTATCCGACGTACAGGCTTATTGCTATGATAGTAACATTAAATATAGGAGTATTGAAAACGGACGATAAATACAGATCGCTATATATAGACTGATTTTGGCCGAATGTGTTGTCTGCATATACCGTACTTTAGTATCTCTTTAAAAGCAGTATTAAACTTTACACTGAAAGTGAAATATGAAAGTAAACTTTTTTTTGTAGAAGTTCTTTGATTAAGTATGAAAAATAAATATTTCTTGTGTTTGTTTGGTTGATCACCTGTTCAATATTAATTGCTTCCTTGTCGAAAAGTGGGATGATGTGAGAAATAATATGGTAAACGGAAAGAGCAATGTCGTTTTCGCGCAGATGGCGCCAACTACGTCAGACGACTAAATCCCGAGCAACGCAAATAACGGCAAAACGGCGTCCTTTTCAAAATTCAAAATTGTTTTGGGATTAAAAATATTCATAACCAACACGAAATGAAAATTACAATCCTGATTAGGATAGTATGCACAGGTGTTGTACTCGGAGGACGGTAGAGACATTCTGCAAATAGAAACATTGTTTTTATCAATAATATTACATAGCCGACTATAATTCGGCATGCGATCATGTTTGGGCTGCCGCAACGTGTGCGTGGGAGAATTTCATGTGTTTCCGTTGTGATAACACTCTTTCTCACCAAAAATTTGAACTTGTGTCGAGATGAAACTGTGAACTGAAAATGATCATTTCACGCCAGTCATGTTGCTGTACATACCAAGTAGATTCTTTCTGGCAGGGGATTGATGGCGTTGGTTGTAGGGGAATCTAGGGTCGGTGGTGTTAGTCAGACTTTCAGACTAAACACAGATAGACACTTCCATTTTCTCTTGAGCTTGAGCCGTAGATGTGTCTATAAGACATCGCACATACGAATTTCTAAACAGGTGGTCATGTTAGCTCACGCTTAAAATACGGCAGTTGTTATAAAGATGTAATTGAAAGAAATCAACTTTAATAATGAAGACGAACGATTACTAAGAATGTTTTTTTTTCCTCTCTTGCAGACGTCTATTCGAGGGAAAAGTGAGAAAAGAGGACGCGGAAGAACAGGCTGGCCAGAGCATGTTTGGGCGCTCGAACTAAGGCAGTAACAGTAGAGAATTATACCAGAAACATTGGGTCTTTTAGACAATTTCAGAAGAAGCGATACAAGACAGTACCTGGTGCTCGACATCTGGAAGATGGACAACGATTCTCTTGCGTTAAAATTCTTAGAAAAAAAAACTCGTGCTACTTGGAAGTTGTCAATACTGACGTGGAATCAGTTTATAATTGATCATCACACCACCTGTTTTTTTTTTTTTAATCAATGTGTTCTTGCTTTATTTTCATAATTAAGATAATTATAATGTTGCTCTCGTGTTTCGTTTTTACTTCAAACGTGCAAATAAATAAATTCCCTTTAAATTTTCCGGGGAAAATGATATGCCTAATGTATTGTAACAATCGCAATATAACTATAGTATAATAATAGTGTTCCTGTTGTCAAAAGTGCGGCGCAGTAAGGCTTAGGGCATTTATATTTAAGTCAGGGTTCGAGGCTGAAGTTTTTCCATTGCTCTGTGTCTTTGGACAAGGCACTAACAATGTTTATCTCACTCCGGTATACTGCAGATGGCAGTAACAGTAGGCCTACTTGTGAATTATTTGGAATTGGTCTTTTACGAGTAAAGGAGGATGACATTGTACAAGTGATCTATAGATGAAGAGCGATGCGCTCACTAAAATGAGTATAAAATAAATTTCGATGTTTTCTTTACAATTTTATATCTGCGCCAAACAAATTCCAATGAAGTTCCTGACTAATTATATCATATTTTATGTAAAGATGCAAGGAGTTAATTATTTAATAAATCTAAAGTATTTTAAGATTTCTACAAACATTTTCTCAAAGAAAACTTTACTTTTAAACTTAATACACCGCCCTCTATTGGTATCTGAAGTACTAACCGCACGAACAAGATGCTGGCGATAACTTCTTGTGTACAGGCAATTATATATCGGTGTCAAATTTCATGCCAACTTAGTTTTTTTCTACTCAGGCCACGTTCTGGTCATTTTTAAGTGCATAACAGTTTAGCTAACATTATTCGAATGATAGACTGAATGTCCAAATCTCCGTTTTGGACGCCTCCTGTGTCTGTTTTTAAACATACAAGCAAGCGCAGGTGTGAGGTCACCAAGTCATAGGGGTAACCATTTTAGGATGACAGGGGGCTCGTGAGCATTATTTTCAATGTCATGTTCCGTGAATATATTACTTGGGCTCTTTGGGGAACCCCAGTTGTTGTTTATGTTGTACCGCTAATGTCATTTTAAGTACTTGCTTAATTAGGGCCACATTGTATGGTCAGGAAATATGCTAATGTGTACCTGTCCCATAATAACTGTTCAGTGTTAAAGTTAATCTGAGTAAATTCAGTAGAAATTTTAAATTTAAAGAGAATCGTCTTTACATTAAGACTTATTTGAATCAAGTAACTTCTCAATAGTAACAAGAAGCTTAACTTTGCATACGGTAATATGTACAAGTTTCTTAACTGTTAACTGTTAGGTGTTAAAGTTAATTTAAGTAAATTTACTAGAATTTTTTAATTTAAAGAGAAAATCGTCTTTACGTTAAGAATTATTTAAATCAACTAACTTATTAAGTTAAGTATTGCATACGAAAATATGCACATATTCCTTGACTGTTAAGTGGTAAAGTTGATTTAAGTAAATTCACTGGGATTTTTAAATTTGAAGAGGTTTTGGAATTTGGAAAATCGTCTTTACATACAGATATTCTTTGAATCGCGTAATGCTAAACACAACTTCTCAAGTATTTTAACGACGAGATGTTGAATAGCATTTTCTGAGACTTCTTAAGGAATTTTCTGTTTACATTATGATGATTACCAATGGATCTTTCCGCTAAGCCCCGCCCCTTGGATATTGTTGCTAAGGTCCCACAAGACGACAGCGTTAAAAGTTACGAGAACACGTGCGTTTGTGAGACGCGCGCGTATTCCTAGCGCTGTTCTGATTAGTCAGTTGTTAAGTTTGATTGACACTCCGGAAAGGTGTATTACAGTAATTATAAAGCAAATGTTTATAAATGAATCCATTCCGACGATGTATTAGTGCTATACCGTACGTCAACATACACCGATAATCCATCAATCAATAACTTATAAATGATATTCTCTTTAAATATATTCTTATTTATAAATGATAATTATTTATCTGTAAATCGGTACGATATTATTATTATTATTATTAGGCCCAAATCAGTATTTGTCGTTGAAATCGATATTATTCTTATAATTGGTATTTGTCTTTAATACCAATATTATCTTTTATTCGATATATAAATCTTGCTAGATATTTATCAATCGATAATCGTCTTTTAAATTTATATTTACTGTGTTTTTTATTGATATTTATCTTTTACTCAGTATTTGGTTTTCGATGTATCTTTTGTCTCATTATTATTATTTATAGCGTTTATAAATATTTATCATTAAGCTATTTATTTTTTTAATGATAGACCCTATGTATTTTGTATCCAATATTTATCTATTAATCGATATTTATCTTTTAATCGACATATTGATTATTATTTTTCCCTTTGCCGTCTCAAAGGTATGTTTGTTGCTTTGTGGCTGAATGCGATACTGTATAAATGTAAACTCTGGGGTCGACATTTAAAGTTTTGCTGTTAAGAGAATACCTTCACAGTGGTAACAAAGATCTTAGGTGTTAATCATTGTGGAGAGGGGGGGGGGTTTGCTGCTGTGTGTGTCAGGGGTAAGTGTGTTCACGATCGCTTGTGTGTCTTCACACGTAAACACGCGTGGACGTATTTATAAAATTGGTTTAAACAGGGTTTGGCAAAAAGGTTAATGCATATCTTTTTGAACGTATTCAAAAAGCTTGTAAATGATTGTAAAAAGTACAGGGAAATAGATTATTAAAAAAGTTGAATAAAAAAAATGAAAAGTTGAAAATGATTCGTCAGTCTCTTTGTTACCATTAGGCTATATTTACCGTAGGCCTAATTTAGATTTACTGCGTATGTCAAACTACTATTCTTTTTTTTTTTTAAGAACACTGAGGCTGAAACGGAAAAAATATGAACAAATTGAGGCTGAGCTAAAATATCAAATGAGATTTTTTTTTTAAATACTGTATAAAACCCAGCAAATCTTATCTGTACCTTATTTGCAGTAGGTGTGACTTATGTAATACCCCTATCAGTAAAGTAATATACAGATGCACAATAAAGATGTTCTATATTTAAAAAGTATGTAAAATAAGAACAAAATAAAAACATTTTTAGCCTGAAATCGGCCGGGCAAAGTTCTTAAATAAAAAAATATATATTAAGCATTTACAAACTTCTTTTGTACTGTAATATTGATTGATATTTGGTTATGAAAATATTCAACAATCCGTTGTGAATGTTTACATATATATACTGACAATATCCACTAAATTTCAACATGACAAACTGCTAGGACCAATGACGTCAAGCCGATGAAAGGTCGTTGTAAGTTTACTTAGCGCATCCAAGCGCAATCCGCTTTGATTGATATTCGTTTAATTTATTGGTGAAAGATAGGATATTTAATTTAGTGGTCTGTTGCCTTCTTTTAACCGCTAGCAACGATGACTTTTCCCGCGGTTGGTATATTTCCCGTTTTTCTGGCGTAACTCTATACCACGGTTCACTATTGTGGTATTAAAGGAATTGCTCTTGGGTTGGAATCCCGATGGGAAATATGTTTTTCTCAAATATTTATCATCTTTATTTTTAACAAATAAAAAATCAATTTGAGAAAAAATAAAAAATAAATAAATAAATAATCAAGCATAGCTCAACAGTAACATTATATGCCTGTCTCTTATACACATCTATGTGTGTGTGTGTGTGTGTGTGTGTGTGTGGGGCGAAAGCAGGATTTTGAGAATATGGTCGCCCGGAAATTACACTCTCATACTTTTAAAAATAAAAGTAATATATCAACAATACAATACAATAATTATTTTTTTTAAATACAATTTGTAGGGGAGGGGGAGGGGTGCGATCCGTCCCACTAGATCCGAACTCTATCCAGATGCCTTTCAAATGGACGACCAGCACTTTCGTTGGAAATCATTGAATTGATTTTAAATATATTTTGATACAGCACTAGTATTCGACAAAGTGTGCTCATTGACTTGTAGACAAAGTGTAGGCCTTATGTCCTTCATTAGGCCTATTTGAGATAATGTATGAAGCAATAATAATAACTCCTGAAGTGCAGGATTCCTTTTGGTCTCTGCGGAGTTGGGTATGTTTCTATCCCTGTCCATCCATGCAGCTATGCTGATTATATAACGTCAAATACGTTAAAATAATTTAAATAGTTTTTGATCGTTATTGGCACTTAAGTTTACCACAACAAAGTTTTTTTTTTTTACTAGTTAGTCAGTCGTATGACTTCCACATAAGCCAAAGTTCCCAGGTTCGATTCTCGGTCAGATTTCTCTTAAAATACGTTACTTCAGTAATGATAATTATTCATTAATTAGCCGTCTTGCTGTTTTAGGTTTCCCATTCTGCATTTATACCTATTCGGAAACCTCGACAAATGCAATATGAGAAATGCGTTATGTTTTGACAGGTAGGCCTATGTACAAGTTGTCATCAATTTGTTTTGCAAAGAAACAGTTCCTAGTTTAATTATTTTAACGAAGCCTATTATCCAATCAGTGAGACAGCTATTTTCAACGTTCTTTTCGCTCAAATTACGACCATGTAATTTTCAAGTGGTCAATGCGCGTACATACATAAAATACATACTGTGCAATATCCTTGCCACCTAGAGAAACGGAAATAACTGTCCGAGGGTATTTAGGTAAACGTTTTGAATTTGGGGTTTGCGTAGTGAAACGGGGGTAGAGGGAGGATATTAACATCGGAGATGACAGTGTCGATAGAACTCGTTGGATTAAAATTGATCAGTATAATTGGCGGATTTGATTGGAAGTTAAGGTGACGACAACACTGAGTGGTTCGCGCGACAGGTGTGCTGCTAAGTTAGCGTGAGATAGCAAATACGGGTAGCAAAATGAACCGTTGTATTATTCTTTATCTCGAACGATAGTCGATATACCGATGAATGAGTGTTTTTTTTTTTCTTCTTTCTTTCTTTTACGGTGAAAGTGGTTTTTGTATAACAACTGTAAGGGTTCAGAGATGGTCAGTACCTTCGCTATGACCCGTTTTCTTTCGACACCCGCAACAAAGTAAGAGTAAATTGATAAAACGACTCCCGTTGACTTATTTAATTATTTCCTTGCCAATCTTCATTGTCTATCTGATCTTCTTCCACCCAGCCAAGTGGCTTTGATGCCATTTTCCATCAAAACATCCATGCCCGATGAAATACGGTAACATTATATGCAATACTAAAATAATATAATATATATACAGCAACCCAGTTCTAAATAATTATAACATTTTAGTTTTTTGACCAGTGAAGGCCAGTAAGCGCAGAGGTGGGATTGGACTTTAGTTATATAATAATACTGTATATTATATTATATTATATTAGAATTTTTTATATTAGATTATATAACATATTATATTATGTTATATTATATTATATTATATTATATTATATTATATTATATTATATTATATTATATTATATTATATTATATTATATAGGTCTATGTCTGTATATATCTAAGTTAGAACGAATTCACATTTTGCTTTTTTGCCTACTAAATGCGAGTTAGCGCAGTGGTAAGGGATTGGACTGTATTGCGATATATGTACTGTATATAGATATATCTCATTCATTTGTCAGGACATTATACTCAGCACATTTGTATGAATGCCTTTCAGAGCATGCCATAGGTCCAATACTGGGGTTTCTAGTTCCCCAAGAGAGAAAGGGAAGTTTTGACGAAGATCAAAATGTGATTCACTGCTGCTGTCGGTTGGTCTGACAAGGCCCCGTCCACAATCCCACATCAACGATAATAGTATATGACAAGATAGATCTAGATATCGGATTTCATTCGTACTGTATGGAACATCAACATTTGGCATGTATTGTCGCTGAACGTAGTACATTTATCATTCGTATCTAACAGAGAACGCGATGGAAATAAGATTTGAAGAGTAACGACACGACTTTGACAAGTGAATATTGGAAACAGTCAACCGATTAAATCAAAACTGCCATACCCCAAACATAACATCCATGTTTATCATTCGACAAGTAATTGAAGCACAGGGAGGGGGAGGGGGTAATTTTTTGTGCAATAATATAATGTGCAATAAATAGAACGTATGTAAAGTAATCCTCGATTGAGTTAAGGAATGAAAAGTGCAGATATCGTAATATGAGACGCAGATGGAAAGTACGAATGAAAGTGAGGGAGAAGTGAAAAGGGTGTTAAAATAAGTATCTTGATTGCGTATCCATGAGTGCTTAATAAAAAATTAAGGGAGCCTCTTTCCCTCTTTAAAAAAAAAATCGTATAATAAGAAATGATTGGTAATCAGGCCTAGATAATGAGGGAGAGATAAAGCTAGGTTCTGACTAGAGGATTCAGACCCGCACGTTGATTGACGCAACCGTAAGCAACGCTGCTACGCGAATCATTTCAATGTGAACCAATCCTTAGTAATACAGTAATTAAACCAAAGAAGTTTAACTGTAGTGGTGAACTGAAACAAAAACATGAATAGATACAAAAATCAGATAACATTTAATGAACCCGGCCCCTTTTCCATAGCTCTTGTTTCGCATGCGGCATTCGACCACATTGTATACGCCATGAACGCGTGCATTGATCTAAATAGCAAGACAATTAATGATTATATCAAACAAAGAAAATTGATGACACCACGCTATTACGCCCTTGACATTTTGTTGGTTTCATCCGCACGAATAGTGGCGTTTTAATATGTATACGAGTAACTCTGGTGATCATCAACCGCAAGGACCAAGGACGTTATTGCCCAGGGATTTCAAGTTGGTTATCTTTTGTAAGATTAACCATAGAACAGATCACGTTGACGTGTACATAGTTAATTACATGTCCAAAATTGTATCACTGTTTAGAAGACATTGTCAGAAAGGACGGATGGTAAAATACATTCAAGACATAACTTAAACGAGCGAGTTATTAAGAAATCAATTTGCACCAATTAACGGGTTATTAAATAAACTTAAGATATTTTAAAACTCGTGTTGTCATGGCACGGCTAGGCCTACTTGATCATCAGCAGTGTCATTATATCAAACTGTTTTTCTTTGTTCATTTCAATAAAACTTGTCGGCTTTCGGATATGGACAGTTTATCGTGAAAATTGGTCCTAATTCCTGATTATTGTAGACCTGATTTATTTGTGATTTGTAATCTAATGGTTTCCGGATGCCCCACTTAGATGAGACCAATGATAATATAAAACCATTCCGAAAGTATCTTTATATTCATTATTTTGTAGAGATATTATACTTCTCTACACTTTTTTTTTATAAGAACACATTTTATAAGAACACTATGAGGCTAAAATTGCTTAAAAATTAAGAAAACAATAAGAACAAATTGAGGCTAAGGTAAAATGTCAACTGAGGTTTTTATTTATTTATTTTTTTTTAATAGAAAAAAACCAACAAATTTTGCGGTAGGTGTGGTGTAATACAATACCCTTACAATAGCCTAATTGTTACAAATTTTGTGACGCATCAAATTTTGAACATCACATAGGCCTAGGCCTAATATTTAATTTCTTTGTAAATAAAGTACTGTATATCATTATTAATGCATTTATATTTACATATATTAGCCTAAGTATATTTTCATTGCTTAAAGGTTTGCATGGCGAATTTTCATTATATTTCTTATTAATTAGAAAAGTTAAAAATGAAACGGAATATTCTAAAGTTAAACATTGTTTTTATTAAATATAATTGGTAAAATTGTGAAAGAATAAGGAGTGAAA